TTCCCTCTCCCTGTCTGTCTCTTTTTCCTCTGCTGAGCACTAGCACCCTATGGCAAAAACCTAAAAAAAAAAAAAGAATTCATCTGCCCTGGAGCTAAAGTTAATGTCCTTTCCATGTAGAAATCAATCATAATCAATACATAAAATCAAATCAGTACATAAAATTCATAAAATTCATGAGACCATTCATTCTCTCACATACCCTTTAATAAAGAGTGAAACCTGTGTGCGGTCCTGGTTGACTTAGTATCTAAGAGTAGTCAGATATGAGATTTTAAAAAAGTATATCTTGTATCTTTTCCTTATTTTAGTTTTGTTTTTTCCATACTCTTCATGATTAACTGCAAATTAATTAGTTAAATAGCATAGGTTGGTTGAGAAAGCATTATACGAAGTGGCATAAAAAAATTGAGCCAGTGTAAGAATCTCAAATTATGTAAAAGTGTAGCAACTTAAATAAAAAAGAATAATGTTTATAACCTAATATTTCTTCTGAGCCTTAGCTTTTCTGGATTCAGAAAAAGGGAGGGAACTGAAGGTAGAAAAAAAATTTCTTAGTGGAAATTAATGACCTGAAACCATAATCGTACTGTTAGTGTAACTGAATATATCAGAAATTGTTCCTATGTATCAATAGATTTTTAATGACCTGTTTTTTTAAATGTTGCAAGAATATTTTTTGTTTTAGTTTTTTGAGGGCAGTATTGTAGGAGGCAGAGATAAGGAAGATGACTGAAAATTTTAGTATATTAATGTTAATATTTATGTACCCATAATATGTTCCTCTCTCTCTCTCTCTCTCTCTCTCTCTCTCTCTCTCTCTGTGTGTGTGTGTGTGTGTGTGTGTGTGCATTTTAAGTGCCTTGTTCACGAATGCATTTTGCTATTCACTCTGAAAGGAAGCTTTTGCCCACCTTGCCAACCAAATAAACCAGTAACTTTGTACATGCAAAATAATTAAATTAATTAATATAAATAAGTAACTAAAATGTTAGGAACTACTCTTTCACCAACAGACCGTATAGGAGTTCTGATTAATTTACAGGACAGGTTAAATAAAGGAGACAGGCATTAACTCAGGTAGGCACTTAGGAATTCTTTCTATAAACCATGTTTTCTTAAAAAAAAAAAAGCACGAAGACACTGAACACTTAATGTTTGACATACGTTTAGTAAAATATATACACAGTAGGAATCTGACATATTAAGCTTACGTTATGTATGTTTTTATTAAAATTCACCTATTGAACAAGTATTTCTCAAACATCAAGTACGTGACAAACTCTGTTCTTTGGGCTGAAGATAGACACAAAGGAGTAAACGATAGCAAATGGCCCTGCCTTCAAGAAGGGAATAGTACAAGATATGTTTATCTCTATCTAACTATCAATACTATCAATAGGTACAGATATAGATAGATAATTATGATTGTGATTAGTGTCTGGAGTAAAACAAATATGGTGTTGTGATAGAGAATAATGACCAGAAAAAGCCTCGCTGAGCAAGCAGTGTTTGTAATTATGATATTCTCTTCTAACAGCATGACATCTACAGTTTTCACCCTTTTCTTAACATTGATATTTTATAAGACTATTACTATCTGGAAAATGATTTAATTATCTTTTTTTTTTTTTTTGTAGTTTTCCAGAGGGCATGTGTCCTTGCCAGACAGACAGAGACAGAGAGACACAAAGATAGGGAGGGCAAGAAATCACCCGCTACGAGAACATAGTCATGCCACAATCCCTTCTTCTCTATTTATCCCTCCTTTGGGGATTTTGGGCACACATACATGTGTCTAGCATGCTTCTCAAGCCACCATATCTGGAACTGCACCTGTGCAGTTGATCATGTAGGGTCCAGCCACCTTAACCTCTAAGGTCACGAAGCTGACCCTAATTATACTTATATGTATTCTTCTTAAATATTTTCTTAATCAACTTGTCAACTTTAAGTCATAGATTTTTATAATCCAGTCCTTTTACCTTTGAATTTTATATTATACCATTTGCACAATCCATTTGTGAAGCCATTATTAACCCCTTGCGTTACTTATATGTGTCTTAATGCGGTTTATTTTCATTTGAAGCAATGATCAGCACACTTTTCTGGTTTACTGCTAGACTGTTGGCTCGTGAGGAAGGATGTGGATGAAACTCCAATGCCCAACATAAGACTTCACATGTAGAAAGGAGTCAATATTTTTTTTGGGGGGGAGAGGTTCTAGCTATAGGGCACGTGCGTTCACCAGACAGAGAGAGACATAGAGACAGAAAGCAAGAAATCACCCCCCAGGGGGGATGGTCACGCTGCAATCCCTTCTCCTCCATTCTCCTCTCGGGATCTTGGGCACGCACATACACACGCCTGGCGTGAGTTTTAAGCCACCAGGTCCGGGACACGAACCGCAGTTGACTATATGGGAGTCCTGCAACATAGCCATTATGCTAACTGCTGGTTCCCAGGAGTCAAATGTTCTTGAAAGAATTACCCAAGAGGCATTTCAAAAATAATGATTTATTTTAGTTTTATTTATTATTATTGTATTTTAATATAATCAGAGATAGACTGAGACAGGAAGAGAAAGAGAGGAAGGGAAAATGAGAAAGAAACCACCAGGTCTGAGACTCAAATCAATCACAGTTGACCATATGATAGCCCAGTGTCTTAACCACCACGCCACCTGCTGGCCCTCCAAGAGACATTTTTACAAGGAATATTAACAGACCAATCTCATCTTTATTACACTTACATTTTTCTAATTGGGCCTAACATTTCAGATATTACATTATTTCTGCTCTAAAATTACAAACCCCACTTTTTTAAAACTATTTGGCAGGAGAACTTAAAAAGAAGTCAAGAAAAAAATGTCTCTCATCTTCCCATGCCAAAGAGTTGGTGAGAGGGAAAGGTGTTTCTGAGCATTAAGGAGTATGTGTCATTTGTGTTTGGCTTTCACTATTCCCTTTAATATTCTGATGAAGACTCAAAAAAAAAAAAAAAAAGACAGAGAGAAAAGAATTATTTAATTTTATTTATTATCATTTTTACTTTTATTATTATCATTTTACTTTTACTTAAATTTACTATAGGACACATGTGCTCAGCAGAGAGAGACAGAGGGAGGGAAAATGAGAAAGCAGCTGCGAGGTCTGGGACTTGAATCAGTCTGCCATGTGGGAGTCCAACACCTCAACCACCATCCCACCTGCTGGCCCCAAAAGCTCTTTTCCTATTAAGTAGGAAAAAAGAGGAAGAGAAATAGAAACCCCATTGCAAGTCAGTATCAAACAGGCTCTTGTTACTTCGAACATCTTAAGGGCTGAGAGGGGGCACCATATGAGGGGACCAGGCCACTCAGTGCAGACTGTAAACGACAGCGGGAAGAGTCTCTGTGACTGGGAAGAACGCTCCTGAATACTAAATCGATGGTGTGCTTCTGTTCCTCCACATTTGAACTAATTAGGAGAGGTCTGAGTGTATACCTTACTCGTTGTTTTGTCAAAAATAAAAATAGAAGTCATTTCAA